ATACTTCAAATTTCTTTAAGAGATGGCTTTGAACAAAAATGCGGAAGCTATGTGACACACGAGGAAATCAATGCCCGATAAGAAGAATGACTTATTTGGTATTAAGTCTTACAACACATGTTGCTACACCCGATTTGACAAATGCCTTATATATGTTGAACTAGATCTTTTGAAACCAAAGGAGCATTAAAACCCCATAATGATCAATCAATTAGTATAACTTGTTGAGTTACTGAGATCGTAAATGAGGCCGATTATGACTCAGTATTCTGACATCTAACTTTTCGTGCCTCACATGCTATGTTATATCGGTCCTTCGCATTACATACTTATTGCAATAGGTGTGTCGTTGTTGTATGTACTCTTCAAAATACACAAATACTTTACAAAAAAATGTGCATACCTATAATGATACTTAGATCTAATTAAATTCATAGTCACAAACAAGTCCATATGAGAAGCGGATTTAGGATTTAAAAATTATCAGTCCCAATGATACGGGGAATTGAGCCTTCAATGAGGAGGGCAATAAAGCTTAAGCAAGTTCCCATTTATCTTGTTGGACCAATAACTTACTTTGTAGATCACAACAAATAGTTTCTATTTATTTATTGACTGGATTCCAGTGAACCTATACCCAATACTCTAGGTCCACCCTATTTAATAGTAGCAACAACATACTTAGTGCAATCCCACTTGTGGGGTTTGAGAGAGTAGAGTGTATGCAATGTTGCCCTTACCTTGTTGTGATAGAGCTTTCTTCTGAAAAGGCCCTAAACTTTAAATAAACTTGCTAATCAGGAAGCAAGAGAATGCTCAATTTCCAACTAACAATTTACCTTAATACGCGACCTTTATACTCTCTTATCAAAGGCCATTTTTTCAGTAAGATCTAGATGCACTTCATCTAATCACTCCCTCCCAGTACTTCTGTGGCCCGACTTTACCTTTCATGACGTCCTCCACTACCAACATCTCACACCTCCTATGAGGAGTGAGGCGTCTATACTCCTCACATGTCCAAATCATCTTAGTCTCACATCCCTCATCTTGTTCAACATGGAGGCCACTCCTACCTTGTCCAGGATATCTCCATTCTTAATCTTGTCTCTCTTAGTATGCCCACAATATCTACCTCAATATTCTCATCACAATGATTTTCTTCTTATGAACATAAGATTTCTTAATAAGCCAACACTTTGCCCCATACTCGGTGGCGTACGCAGGATTTTTCGTAAGTTGTGTCACCTTTTAGTTTTTTTTGTTTTATTTATTTATATATATATATATATATATATATATATATATATATATATATATATATATATATATATATATATATATATATATATATATATATATATAAAAGTGAGAAAGGAGAAAATAATATAAAATGGTAATTTATACTAAAGTGAGAAAGAAGGAAAGAAAATAGAAAATTTGTATAAAAAATGAGGTTAAGCAGGTTCGCACCCGCGACCTCATCTTTGGAAAAGCTAAGACTTACCAACTAAGCTACACAAATATGTAGAGTATCACTTTGTACTATATATCTTTTTTTATCTGTTTTCCCTTTTAATCACAATTTTTCCAAGTAAGCAAGCAGACTACTCTTAAATCCGCCCCTGCCCATACTACAGGGTCGGTCTAACCACCACTCTATAGAACCTACCTGTCCATACTCCATATAATATGGATCACATGTTACCTTTAGTTGCTGAAGAATAAGAATATTTGAAACCGTTCGGATTTCTCCACTAGAACTCATCACCTCCAAGAATGATAGGAAAAACAAAAGCATTAAATCTATTTAGTGGGCAGGGGTGTCCACATGGGCTTGATTTGCCAAGTCTGTTCATATGTATTATGAAACGCCATCTGTTCATATGTATTATGATACGCCAAACTAATTTAGAAGCAGGTATATGGTATGTAAGAATATATTTTACAGTTTGTGTTATGTGTTACGGTGCTTGTATAGGCTGACTATTTTATTAATTCATGCGTTAGTACCTGATTGTCATACTGTTGAAAATTTATTGATATCTATTGGATGATCTCCTTGGTTGGCACAATCTGATTCAGAAAAAGGAAAATGATGCGCAAAGTTGTTAGCAATAACATCTGTGTTTTGTTGTGGATGTCTAAGCGTTTGACTTTGTTTTGTAGGGAGATGCTCCAGCACCGATCATACACCCAGAAAGTTGATGTTTATAGTTTTGGCATTGTTCTGTGGGAGCTCATAACAGGGTTGCTTCCTTACCCGAGCATGACTGCTGTGCAGGCCGCTTTTGCTGTTGTCAACAAAGGCGCCCGTCCAATAATCCCCAATGATTGCTTGCCTGTCTTATCTAATATCATGACCTGCTGCTGGGATTTTGACCCCGATAAGCGACCAACTTTCTCTCAGGTGGTCAAGATGCTTGAGGCGGCTGAGATAGAAATAATGACTAATGTCAGAAGGGCACGTTTCAGGTCCTGTCCTCGTCCTACGGCTACTGGGAAAGATTAAACTGGAGGCAAAAGACATTGAATTGAAAAACTGATTTTGAGTTAATAATATCTATCCGGCACAATCTCTTTTCAGATAGAAAAAGGGTTATAGTTATGCGAAAAAACTAAACATTTCTATGCTGTGGATTTAAGACAGCGACTAGTTGGCTTGCTGAATTTGTTCAAAGTTGTATCAGGTTCTGAATTATATGAAATACTCATCTATGCTTGCAGCCTTGTTTCCTTTGTTACACTCTGATAGTTTTATCAGTGCAGCACACATTGTGATATGTTTTAGGACCTATCGGAAACAACCTCTCTACTTTTACATGGTTGGGGGGGGGGGGATAAGACTCTGTACACAACACCCTCTTCAAACTCAACTGTGATTGGTAGGGTTTTGGCTGGAGAAAACGACGGAGTAAGATGAAGCCGGTATAAGAACAACAGTGTTGAACAAGGCTTACAATCGATATGTCAAACGGACCTATATATTCATGGCTCATGATGAGAAGGATGAATGCAACATCGATAACCGCGTAATATTCTCTTTCTCTTTATATATATATATATATATATACATATAGTTGTTATTAAATCGTTTTTCTCGTCAGTTTGCTGACTATGTTATTTTGATCTTTGATTCTCTTAGCAATTTTAATTATGAGCTTGCTAACTTGCAGTTGGCTTCAACATAGTTGTTTGTTTCAATGCAAATTAAAAAAGCACCTAAAATTAAACATATAGACTCATTGTAGAGATTCATTTCATTTTGTAATTCTTGTCTGTTTGTTGGTATATGAAGTTAGTTAAAAATTAGTTGTTTTTTTCGTGGGAATGTTGTTGCTGATGTTATTTTGGTTTCTGAATTCAACGGTTCTAAATTATGAGCTTGTTAACTCACAACAAGACTACAAAATGATTGTTTGTTTCAATGAAGAGTAATTAAGCAGCTAAATTTATGCATCCCTAGGCTTGTTTTAGAGTTCCATTTTTTATCTAAATTCTTAGTTAGCGATGTGTTTCTATCTTCTGTGCTTGTAATCTGTTTATGAGTACTTGATATTGGTGAATTCTCCCTAATTTCAGTTGAAATTTTATTAATGATGTTATTACCAATTCCAACTACGGATAACAAAGGGTCTATGGTAGGTTATAGTCTGATTATGCTAAGCCTGTGAAGACTAAGTTAGAGTTGCCATGGTTAAGAGGTTTTCCATTTAGACGGTAGTTACTTTGGGATTCTTTAATGGCATTTAGTGCGTGGTTGATTCTTTAATGGCATTTCGAATTATACTACACCTTGAGCTATACATGACTAGAGAAAAGGGTAGACTTTCCTTGTGAGTATTTAGAAGTATGATATATGAAATACACTTCTTATCATGAGTTTGAGAAAGAAGGCGGGTGGTGTGATATAAGTTTTTAGTGAAGGGGGAAGTGTGTCAATTCAAATAAAACAGTGATTCGTCCAATCACTAATTTTATTTTATTTTCCTCTTCTTATGTATTAGTAATTTCTAAAACTCAAAAAGTGGAAAAATCCATTAAAATATAGCTTAAGATATTTGATTCGTCCATCCTCTAAATTTGCCTTGTTGTTCTTATTTATTAGTGTTTTCCCTTAAATTGAAAGTGAAAAATTCATCAAATATCACATACGATATTTGATTCGTCCAACCACAAAATTTGCCTTTTTTTTTCTTTCGTATTTATTAGTATTTTCCTTAAATTCAAGTGGAAAAATTCATTAATTCTAGCTTGCAATATTTGAGTTGTCCAACCACCAAATTCATCTCATGCCTCTTCTTATTTGTTACTACTATCTTTTATTCAAAGTGGAAAAAATTATTAAAACTAGCTTTATTGTGGTAATTATGATTATATTCCTTAAATCAAAAGTGGAAAAATCATTAAATCTAACCAAATACATTCACATTTGTAGTATGACTTTTATCTACACTCATAAATCTCATTTGTAGTGTGAACTCATAAATCTCATTTGTAGTAATTTTTTTTCTTTTAAAATTTGAACCAAAAGTATATAATAAAAACACAATTTCATGTGTTTGGATGTTCAATTGAAATAAATCATAATTCAAGGGTCAAAATGAAATTTATCGAACAATTCTAATACAAGTAGTCCCTATATAAACTAGTACTCACACATGTAAATCGTACTCATACATTACTCTCTCTATGTGTTCTTTTTTTCTCGTGTTACTTCTCTTAGTTTTTACTTCGATCTTTCTTCAAAGCTCCAGTAGTCTGAAAATTGATCGGCGTCGGAAAACAAGTAGAGTCATAATCACAATCGAGGTAAATTAATTTACTTTTTTTCTTCCTTGATTTTGCCTTTGATCGTTCATTTTTATGAATATTTTGTGTTTTAATTAAAGTTTAATACTAGGTGGCTTCTTCCCATCTGTCCTAGCCTTGGTAAAGAGTTGTTTGGTACATGTTGGTGGAGGAAAGTGATAGGTATCCCCCGAAATCAGTCGAGGTGCATGCCAGCTATCTCGTCCTGCACTGCGATTGATCTTGCGAAGGCTCACTTTATGGAGCAGCAATTTCAGCATGAGGTCGCGATGTTGGCAAAGCATCCAAATATTATTCGATTTATTGGTGCATGTCGTAAAGCCAATGAGTCGTGTATTGTAACTGAATATACAAGAGGGGGATCAGTGTGTCAGTTCCTGCAAAACCAAGTTGTGCCATTGAAGTTAGCTGTTAAGCTGGTCTTGGATGTGGAGCATGTGCATGGTCTGAATCTTATTCATCGAGATCTAGAATCCGACAATCTACTGATTGCTGCTGACAAGTCAATCAAGATTGCAGACTTTGGTGTTGCTCGAATTCAAGTGGACAAGACGCTCGAGGCAGCAGGGAGACAGAAATCATGACTGATATTCAGAAAGGCGCGTTTCAGGTGCTGCCCTCGTCCTACGGCTACACAGGAAGAGGAAAACTGGAGGCAAAAGATGTTGAATTGGCAAAATCTTTTTTTCATAGGAGATTAGTAATACATACATACAAAAAATATGTGAAGTAAAACATGTAAGATCTTGATAGAGTCGTTTTCTTCTATTTATATTGTGAATGAGCGTAAGAGATTATATTGTGAAATGAGTATAAGAGATTATGTAATCCCTTTTTCATTTATCGAAGCTTTGATGGAGAAAGTTACACAAAAATGGCAAATAGCTAATGAAATAGTTGAGGTGTGTACATATTTGCTTAATCAACACTATATTTTACATAAATGTCATAGATTAGTGATTATAAATCAGGATTTATTTACATTAGACATGATTCTAAAATTCGTATTAGATTAATTATTTACTAGCAAGTTATTCCCAATAGCTAGGAATATTGAAGTGGATGTTTTAGTATAGTAGAAGAGATAAAATAATTAAGAATAAAGATATTCATAATAAAGTGAGACGGACCTTCGTAAAGAATAAGATGAGAAAAGTGAGATTGAAATAATTCAGATATATGAAGAAAATATGCACAGATGCATGCCCCAATGAAAAAGTGTGATAAGTTGGCTATAATGAGTTTAAGGAGAGATATAGGCCAAAGAAATTCTGAGAAAAAGGTCTATTCTTAAAAAGGGCTCATAAATACGGAAATGAGCGTTAAAAAAATGGGGTGAGTATACGTGAAGGTTTCCTAACTCATTAAGGAGGTCCTCATAAATAAAAGTTTTGTGTGATTCGTGCGCCAGATCCATGGGTTAATACACACAAAAAATTGTGAAATTTGAACGATTCTTCAAAAAGAGCTTGTAATGCGGTAATAATTATTAAAACAATGGTGTGAGTGTACTTTAAGGTTTCCTAAATAATTACGGAGGTCCTCATAATTTTTTTAAGAAAAAAACTTCAGATGCTCAGAATGCCAAATCAATGGGCTAAAACACACAAAAAATTGAAAAATTTAAGAAATTCTAAAAAGGCCTGTAAATATGGAAATGGGCGTTAAATAATAGTGTGAGTATATGTAAAGGTTCTCAACTCATAACATAGATCCTCATAAAGTTTTTAGAGAGAAAAAAATTTGGGTGCTCCTGTCACAAAATCCATGAACTATGATGCATGAAAATCGGCAAAATGGGATATACCTGCTTCAGGGCTCGTTTGATCTTGAACATGGGTCGTTTTGGCTATCAAGTTCAATTGGCTCCATAGTTAACATCTTAACGAACATCCACGAAAAATTTAGACAAAAAAGACGACGGAATTTTGGATCACAAAAATTTCATGGACTATAACACACGAAAATCGATCAAGGGGGGGAGGGGATTACCTGCTTTGGGGCTCATTTGACCTTCAAAATAGACCGTTTTTGACGTTTAGGGCCAACTTTCTCCGCAGCTAACATCTTAACGGGCGTCAACAAAAACTTTGGGCAAAAAAAGACATCGAAATTTTGGATCATCAAAAAAGATCGTGGACTATAGCACAAGAAAATTGATAAAATAAGGGGTTTACCTGCTCCGGGGCTCAATTGACCTTCAAAATAGTCTGTCTTTGGCGTCAAGGCCAACTGACTCCCTAGATAACATCTTAATGGACGTGCACAAAAAATTTGGGCAAAAGAGAGATCAAAATTCTATAGTACACGAAAATGGGCAAAATTGGGTATACCTACTTCGCGGCTCGTTTGACCTAGAAAATAGATTGTTTTTGTGTCAGGGACAACTAGTTTCATAGCTAATATCTTAACAAACGTCCAAGAAAAATTTGGGCAAAAAAGACATCAAAAATCCGAATCACAAAAAATCCATGGACTATACCACAAAAAAATCGATAAAATCGGGGGTTTACGTGCTTGGGGACTTGTTTGACTTTCAAAATAGACCATTTTGACTGTCACACACAACTGACTCCTTATCTAACGTCTTGATAGACCACACAAAAAAGGGCAAAAAAGACGTCGGAATTTTGGATCACCGAAAAAATCATTGACTATAGCACAAGAAAATTGGTAAAATGAGGGGTTTGCCTTCTACGAGGTTCGTTTGACTTTAGAAATGGAACCAGTTCATCCCGCAATGAAAAAAGTGCATTTTCAAGTTCAAACGAGTCACAAAGCAGGCAAAGAAAGATTTTATTGATTTCCATATGCTATATATAGCCCATGAAATTTTTTTAATCCGAAAATTCCGTAACAAAATGGCCAAAAATTTTCATGGATGTCTGTTAAGACCTTAGAAGTGGAACCAATTCGTCCCACGGGGGAAAATGGTGCATTTTCAAGTTCAAACGAGTCCCAAAGAGGGCATAGGTAGATTTTACCAATTTCCGTGTGCTATATATAGTCCATGAATATATTCTTCTTATATCGAAACAAAATAATCAAAATGTTTCATGCTAATCCGTTAAGAGCATAGAAATGAAGCCAATTCATCCCGCGGTAAAAATGGTGTCTTTTCAAATTCAAACGAGCCCAAAAATAGACAAAGATATATTTTACCGATTTTCATGTACTATAGTCATAAATTTTCTATATCCCGAAATCCCATAAAAAAATGGCCAAATATTTTAGTATACCTCCGTTAAGACCTTATCAATGAAACCAGTTCGTCCTGCGGGATAAATGGTGCCTTTTAAAGTTCAAAAGAGCCCCAGAGCAGGCAAAGACAGATATTATCGATTTTCGTGTGCTATAACTCATTGATATTTTATCCCGAAAAATGAAACAAAATAGCCAAAAAATTTCATGGATGTTTGTTAAGATCTTAGAAATGGAACTAGTTTGTCTCGCTTCAAATTCAAACGAGCCCCAAAGAAGGCAAAAGAAAATTTTATCGATTTTTGTATGTTGTAGCCCTTTGACTTATTTTGATCCGAAAATTCTAAAATAAAATGGCCGAAATTTTTCATAGATGTCCATTAAGACCTTATGAAACCAGTTCGTCCCGTGAGAAAAACTGGTGCATTTTCAAGTACAAACGAGCCTCAAAGAAGGCAACGATAAATCTTACCAATTTTCGTGTGCTATGCCCATTGTTTTTTTTAATCCAACAATTCCAAAATAAAATGACAAAAGTTTTTCATGGACGTCCATTAAGACCTTAGAAATTGAATCAATTCGTCCCACAGGAAAAAATGGTGTATTTTTAAGTTCAAACGAGCGTCACAGCACACAAAGACAAATTTTATCCATTTTCGTGTGCTATAGCACATATATTTTTTTTATGCGAAAATCTTGAAAAAAAATGGCCGAAAATTTTCATGGATGTCAGTTAAGACCTCAGAAATAAAATCAGTGGTGCATTTTCAAGTTCAAACGAGCACAAAGCAAACAAAGATAGAATTTATTGATTTTCGTGGACAATAGCCCATGAATTTATTTTTATCCAGAAATTCCGAAATAACATGGCCGAAATTTTTCATGGACGTCTGTTAAGACCTTAGAAATAGAAGTAATTCGTCTTGCGAGGAAAAAATGATGCATTTTCAAGTTCAAATGAGCCAGAAAGCAGGCAAAGACAGATTTTACCAATTTTCGTGTGTTATGCCCATGAATTTTTTTAATTTGGAAATCACAAAATGAAATTGTCAAAATTTTTCATGGATGTCCATTAAGACCCTAGAAATGGAACCAAATCACCCGATGGGAAAAATGGTGCATTTTTCAAGTTCAAACGAGCTCAAAGCAGGCAAAGACACATTTTTATCAATTTTCGTGTGTTATATCCTATAAAAAAATTTATCGGGAAATCCCAAAATAAAATAGCCTATATTTTTTATGGAAATCCGTTAAGATCTTAAAATTGAACCAGTTCATTCTGAGGGAAAATAATGGTGCATTTTCAGGTTCAAAGGAGTCCAAAAGCAGGCGAAGGTAGATTTTATCGATTTTCATGCGCTATAGACAATGAATTTTTTTTATCAAGAAATTCCTATACAAAATTATCATAATTTTTCATGGACGTCCGTTAAGACTTTAGAAATGGAACAAGTTTGTCCACCAGAGAAAAAAACGCATTTTCAAGTTCAAACGAGCTCGAAAGTAGTCAATGGCAGATTTTACCAATTTTCGTGTGCTATAGCACTTGAAATTTTTTTTATTCAGAAAATTCTATACAAATGACCGTAATTTTTTATTAATGTCCGTTAAGACCTCAGAAATGGAAATAGTTCATCCTTCGCGGAAAAGAAACTATCAATTTTTGTGTGCTATAACCCATGAATTTTTGTTATCCGAAAATTCAAGAAGAGAACGATCGAAATTTTTCATGGACGTCCGTTAAGACCTTCGAAATGGAACATATTCGTCCCGCCGAGAAAAATAGTGCATTTTCATCTTCAAGCGAGCCCCAATACAAGCAAAGGCAGATTTTACTGATTTTCGTGCACTCTAACCCATGAATTTTATGATCTGAATATCCCGAAACGGCTGAAATTTTTTATGGACGTCCATTAAGGCTCTAGAAATTGATCTAGTTTGTCCCACGAGGAAAATGATGCATTTTAAAAATAAAACAAGCTCCATAGCAGACAAAAACATATTTTATCGATTTTCGTGTTCTACAACCCATAAATTTTATTTATCTGGGAATTTCGAAATAAAATGACTGAAAACTTTCATGTGCATTAGTGAAGACCTCAAAAATGGAACCAGTTCGTACTACGGGGAAAATGGTTCATTTTAAAGTTCAAATTAGCCCGAAAGAAAATAAAACCAAATTTTATCGATTTTCATATGCTAAAAGTCCATAGATTTTTTTATCCTTAAATTCTGAAACAAAATGGCCAAAAATTTACATGGACTTTCATTAAAATCTTAGAAATTTAACAAGTTCATCCAGGGAAAATTGTGCATTTTCAAGTTCAAACTAGCCCCAAAGCAGGCAAGGGCTGATTTAATCGATTTTCGTGTGTTATAGCCC